TAAAAGGAGCTGGAGTTGATGCTCAGTCCCAGAATTCCAGGGACAGTGAGGATGTGCTGCACTCCCTGCTGCTTCCCTAAAAAGCTGCTTCTCCTCGTCCTCTCTCCCACTGCATCCACAACTGAACTGGATGAAGATGTTCCCTGGTTGTCCAGACTGATCCACACCTTCCTGCAGGAACAGCCTCGTTTGTACCACGCCGAGAGGTGATGGAGGGACACTTCCACATCCCCACTGTCCCTTGCACCAGCTCAGATCCAGCCTCTACATCCTCAGCAATGCTTTCCCACTCTCTCCCTCAGCAATCCAGCTGCTGGGTGTCCCCACACCCCTGGCTGATGGAAGACAAATTGCTACTGAATGACTCATCTGCAGCAAATCCCAAATTCAGGTCCAGTGCCTTTGGAGCCTTCCCAGCACTGTGGCTCCCAGGGGACTGGGCCTGGCGAGCCAGAGGTGGCAAATCCCCCAAAAAGGAAGAGCCCACGCAAGTCTTGTTCCTCAAGGCTGACATTTAGCAGCAGGGACAGGTTTTCCTCAGCACAGCACTCAGGAAGTTCCATTCTTTTGGCAGCAGACTTGCTCCAAGATGTGTTTTTGCTTCCTGGCAAGTCCTTTGCTGGCAGCAGGGGGGTGGAGGAGGGGGAATTGCGCGACAGCCCCGGAACAACTGGACCCAGCACCAGCAGGAGAAATTCTCTCTTCTGGAACTGTTTGGCTTTGATTGCCCCAGAGGATCTTCAATTATTGCAAACAGGTTTCAGCTTCTGGCTCAGTGTTCCAGCAGTGGGGTCACAGCTGTGGCCACATGGATGAGATCCCACCAGCTCCAAGGCCTGCCTTCAACCAGGTGAAAGCTTTTCCCAATTTGCAGACAGAGCAGTAAGAGACTGGCCAGGAACTGGACACGATGAAGCTCCAGGTCATTTCCAACTCAGGATGTTCTGTGATTCCACAATTTTAAGTTGAGCTTGCCCCAGATGATGGCAAAACAATAAAAGGTCAGGGAGAGGGAAGACAAAACCAGGAATCTCTTGGCAGAAACATCTCCCAGCTCGGCCAGTGCCAGGTCCCAAACTGCCCCCTTGGCTTCCCAGCTGAGTCTGAGCAGGCCCCTCTGGAAGCACCATTTGGGAATCGCTCCCAGGAGCGGTTACAGTGCAGGGCCGGCGCTGGGGGCAAGGCCGGAGCAGCTCCAGGTTCCAGCAGGGTGGGAACAGCGGGCACTGGGATGCCAGCAGGCAGTGGTGCACAGGCAGGGGAAGGCTGATGCTCAGGCAGACTGGATCCCTTTCCAGGAATCCCAGAGATTCATTCCTGGGTCTGGTTCCCTTGGGCCTTCCTGGGTGAAGTCTGGATCAGACTCAAAAGCCCTGGAGGGGTTGGCAGTGGCTCAGCCACAGCCGAGTGCTGAGCTCCAGGGGTTGTGCTGCCCATTCCCAAGGCTGCTCCTGAGCCAGCCCTGCCTTGGACACTGCTGGCCACCAAAGCAGTGACAAAAGGGACAGACAGGTTTTTGCTTTCCCACAACACCCACCAAAGAGCAGGTGACAAACTCCTCACCTGAGGCCTTTGCTCAAAGGGTCCTGGAATCATAGAATTGTTCAGGCTGGAGAAGATCTTTCATATCAGCGAGTCCAACGGTGAGGAGAGTGCCCAGGCCACCCTGAGCTCTCTGACAGCTCAGTCTGGCTCCCCAGAACTGCAACTGCAGGATGCAGAGCTTGTCATTCCCACAAGGATCTGTCCCTCCTCATCATGCAGGGAGTGTCAGGGGCCAGCAGGGTGACACAGGTGACCCAGGCCTTGAGCAGTGCTGGGAAGCTCAGAGGGCTCCATGGAATCTGTGGGTTGGTTCCTTCTCCAGCACAAATCCTGTGAGTGCCTTGGGCACCGACCAAACCAGGACAAGGGATGGCAGCTGAGTTTTCTTCCTGGATCTCCATGGTTGGAGGTGAAGGGAGGCACAAGAGCTCCAAGGGGCACCATATCCTGGTCCCTCTGCAGGAAAGGATCTGATAAAATCAGGGGGATGAAAAGCTTCTACTTGTATCTCCTCCTCTCTCTCTCTCTCTCACCAGAGATATAAGCGATGGGGGAGAGGTAATTAGGAAATTAATTAAGGCTGCTGCCCCTCCAGCAATCACTCATTTACAGTCTCCAGAGGTCCCAGCACTCTGCTGCGTGCTGAGGAAGAAGCTGGAGCTGCCCAACTCCCAGCTGCAAAACATCTGGGTTACATTGTGCTCCTGGATTCCAGGACATACGCTGTGTTTGGCTCCTACGAGAAGCTACTGGATGTTCCTCAGCTCTCACCCTCCAAGCACTCCTGCCCTTTTCCAGGTTTTCCTTGTGCTGCCAGTCCCTTAGCAGGACACACCCTGTCCCACACACAAAGCAGAAAACATTCCAAAATGCCCCCAACTCCCAGGGCATTCAGTCCCTTCCCAGTGGGTAAGGAGGTAAAGCCAGACCTGAGTCTCACACTGAGGCTCCCATGGAAGACACGCTCAGGAATCAATGAAAACTTCACTTGGTCCTAAATCTCTCCTTAGACTGCCCAGGATGAGGCACAGAGAGCTGAACCCTGCAGAGTGGGAGCTGCTGCAGCCCCTCACCCCCTCTCCAAACACTCCCAACCCTGCTGGACCCAGGCAGCAGGAGGGCACAGGAACCTCACTGACTCCAAACCCAGAGGCAGGAGCTGAGCAGCTGTTTGTGACCCCAGGATGCTCCATGGAACTCCTGCCAGTGCCTGATTGCTGCACTGGGGACTCACCAGGGAGCACTAGAAGGGAATTAAAGACAGTGTTGCCCCTCTGAGCACCAGGTTCAGCAGGGAGGTGTTTTCCAAAGCCTGAATGTGATTTTTTTTCCAGTAATTTTGCTGTTGCAATCCCCTTTCTACTGTAGTTTCCTTTATTGGTGCTTGGCCTGGCCTGAACTCAGACCAGCCTGATTTCTACTTCAATGGATCCTCCTTCTCCTCCTCACTTTGTGCACTTGAATAAATAAGTTTTTACAGGTTCATTGTGCATTGTACAAGCTAAAAATAAAGGAAATAAAGCATAGGAAGCGTAGAAGTTTTCATCACAGCTCTATAAAATCGGCCCTTCCTGCACACACAACACCGAGTCACGACACAAGTCCCTGCCCCAGGGGGACAGTGGCAGCACAGGCAGCCAGGTCAGGGTGTTTTTGTGAACTACCATTCAAGAACCTACTCAAAAGCAAAGGAACACAAAAGCAAAATGCACAAAATGCACCTTGTCAATCCATGTACACGGCCAAGCCGGGTCAGAGTCAAGTATCAAAACCTTACCAACGAAACACGTCGTGCTTGGAACGAAAAAACAACGAGCTGAGCAAACTCTGCACCCTGCAGCAGGACAGAAGGACAACGTTCAGTCTTCCCAAGGCTGGGAAGGGGCTGCACCAGCACCAGTGAACACAAACCCTGTCCACAGGCCAGGGCCAGCCCCAAGAAGAGAGTTACCAAACCAGCTACCAAAATTCACAGTGACCCAAACACCACCAGCAACTGCAGATGGCCCAGGGAAGTAGTTTGGATGGGGGAGGACTTGGATTTCTCCGGTTCCAGCTGTGCCTGCATGGGCTGTGCCTGCCCAGGCTGCTCCAGAGGGGAGCACAGAGCCCTCCTTAGTCTCAAACTCAATTAAAACTCACCCAGTTCAAAAGCGCCCGGCTCAGTCCGAGCCAAACCCCAGGGAGGAGAATTCCTTCCTCGGTCAGCCCCGGCTGCCAACCAAGCGGATTTTGGGATATGAACAGAGTCAGGGGAATAAATAATCTGCAGACCTTTAAGAACTGGGTTTGGCATTGGTCAACCCCTCAAAATCAGCACCAAGGATTCAAACCAGAGGCACAGTTCTGACGGACAAAATAGCACCGAGGAGGCTCTTTTACGTCTCTGCTGGTGTGCCAGTCCTTTAGTATTCAGAGAATTTAATAATAATAACTTGTATTTATGAATCTAGGTGGAATAAAATAAGTCAAAATTGTTTTCACTTTAAAAAAAAGATAAATACTTTATCTAAACTATCAACAATACAAACTGGAGCTTTAAGCATTTCTTTTGCCTTTTTTTTTTTGCCTTTTTTTTCCTTTTTTTTACTCAGATTCACAGTAAATGTTTGCTCTGTTGTTTAGGTCTTTTTAATGGTTTTTATTTTGTCCAGTAGTAAGAGAGTAGAAACCCCTGCACAGGCCAGGTGAGCACCTTTCAGTGGAAGCCGAGTGAAGTTGGTCCACGTTGTCCTTGCATAGGTCACATTGGGTTGAGGTAGAAATCCTAGTTACCTGCACAACAGGAGGAGAGGAAGAGACTCATCTAAATAAAAGGCAAAAATCTGTAGTGTTGTTAGATGTGTCAATCATTTCTACATTGCTCCAAGACCTCCTCAGATGAAGCAAATCTTGACCCAATCCCATGTTTGGGATGTTCCAAGGGACACGTGGCCCCTCCAAATGCTGCAGTTTTTCAAGCTGTGACTGTGTAGAACTCTGTCCTGTGGGGCTGACACCGAGTGAGGGGGAAAAGAGTAAAAAAAAAAGGTATTTCCCCCCTCAGTACTTCACCTTTTTATAGTAGAAGATAATCTGCTTTGAGTTTTGTTATTATTGTGGGGGAGGAACATGAATCATAGAAAGGCTTAGGTCAGAAGGGACCTTAAAGCTCCCCCATCCCACCCCCTGCCATGGCAGGGACACCTTCCACCATCCCAGGCTGCTCCAAGCCCCGTCCAGCCTGGCCTTGGGCACTGCCAGGGATCCAGGGGCAGCCACAGCTGCTCTGGGCACCCTGTGCCAGGGCCTGCCCACCCTCCCAGCCAACAATTCCTTCCCAATATCCCATCCAGCCCTGCCCTCTGGCAGTGGGAGCCATTCCCTGTGTCCTGTCCCTCCAGGCCTTGTCCCCAGTCCCTCTCCAGCTCTCCTGGAGCCCCTTTAGGCCCTGCAAGGGGCTCTGAGCTCTCCCTGGAGCCTTCTCTTCTCCAGGTGAGCACCCCCAGCTCTCCCAGCCTGGCTCCAGAGCAGAGAAGCAAAGTAACTTATTTCAGTCCCCAATTCCTGGTTTCAGCACATCTGTTCTCACTGAAATCAAGGGCACTGCTCAAATACCTGACCTGGCTTCAAGTCAGGCTTGGGATCACAACCACCTCTGGTACCATCAGTTCTGCTCCTGTGCTCCAACAACCCAGCTTTGACACCCAGCTACTCTTCTACAAGTCCCTTTTGTGCTTTGCCTCTATTTTCAGTATTTTTCAGTGACAGGGACTGTGACACCTGATGGATCCTAGTCCAGCATGGCCTCAATTCCAGGTAATTCCAGCAGAGACTCTCACACTGCCCTGGTACAGACCCCAAACTGACCCTCCTCACCACCCCCATCTTCCTTCCTCCCCATCCTCTCTCTGTTTGGGGTTTTCCAAGCCCATCTCTCTGCTGGCACACAAAGCCCTTCCTCAGCCTCCCTTTCCTGCAGGGAGGGACCTGGCAATACTTACGTGCCTCCCAAAAGCCTAACCAGGGGTTTGTGGTGTCTGAGGAGGAATTTGGTGAGGAAGACACTACACACAATGCACAGAGGCTCTCTCAGGTATGTTGTAATCGAGTTTTATAAGCAGCAAAGTGTGTTCAACCACGTTTGTAGCTTTGGTACCAGTGGACAGCAACAACATCACAGATCTATAAGGAAAGCACAGAGCCAGCTCCGGGGCTGGACACGCTGGATGCACTTGGCAAGCACGAGTTGGTACAGCAGGATTGCCACAGAGTGTTTGCATGAACCACAGGACCCAGCTCTGTGGTGGTACAGTTTATTCTGGAGTAGCTCTAGAGACAGTTCAATAAATACCTGCTTCAGGAGAAATGCACACAGCCTCCAGAACCCTCCTCTCCTTCAGCCTTTGTGGAGAGTGGAACCCACTTCCCCCTGCACATTCCCTGTGCTCCCAGGGCTTGTGAGCAAAACTAAAACATCTGCTGAGACTGTTCCTGCCAGCCCTGGCAGTGAGTCCAGCACAGGGAAGTGACAGGGGAGTCACAGCCCTTCTCTGCTGCCTGTGCTTGTGTTTCCAGTGATGCAGGGAACACTGACTGCACTGCACCTGCAGGCCCAGGGAATTTGCTCTCCAAGCAAAGCTAAAGCTTGTAACCTAGAGATTTTTAACTTTATGACTATTTAGAGCAGCTGTTGTTGACTGGCAGTTTTTACTGACCACCACGTTGTCACAGAGTCACAAAGAGGCACCTTTGGGTACCTCAGTGCTACGGACAAGGACTGGTTTGGGATAAACAGGCTGTGCAGGAGGGGAGGGGATCAGATGGGCAACACCCACTTCCAACAGTATAAAACCACATGGAAAATAGACATTTCCTCCTGTTACTACCTCCAGAAAGAATACTCTCTCTTTCTATGAAGAGATTTCAGCCTGAACATAACCCTGAGCCAGAGCAGAGTTACCCCTGTGAGCACTCCTTGTCGAGAAATCCTGACTCCCAGAACAGAGAGCACCAACACTTTCCATCCTCTGCCACCAGGTGATTTGCTCCCCACATTTTAGAGATTTCTCTCCCCATTTTAGAGGTTTGTCTCCCCCATTTTAGGGGTGATTTTCCCCGTTTCAGAGGTTTCTGTTTCACGGAGCCCGGCCCCGACCTCTCTCTGTAAAGGAAGAAGCGTCAGTGAGCATCTCGCACACAAACTCCTCTGGTTTTGTGTCTGGCCTTACCTTACAAAACAAGAACTGTTAGCTAAGCAAGCTCTTTATCGTGGCTTAACCCCCGAAAGGTGCGAAGCATAAGGAGGCTGCATGCCAAGGGTCACCCACATAGCGGCCGTGCCAGCGGCGTTGGGCTGCGGGAGCACGCGGGGCAGGGGCGGGTGATGGACTGTAAAGGAGGGACGGGAGGGTTTGTGCTGGAGAGAAGCCAGTTTAATAGACAAAGAAGAGTTAGACTGGACAGGAGCAGAGGAGGAGGGCAGGAACGTCTCGCCGGGGGGGATGGAGGGCAGGTTCTGCAGGAGAGCAGGCTCGGAGTTAGAAGCGAGTAAAGGAGGAGGAGGAGGCAAGGACACGTTAGGAGGGGGCGGAGGGGGATGGAAGACAGATTGCACTGGCGCTCTGTTGAGGTGCTGAGCAGGTCTAGTCTCACTAGATGTTACTAAATTAGAGGAAGAGGGTGGGAAGGATGAGGATGAGGTGCTGGCAACAGCCTGCAGAGGGTTTAAGCTTAGCACGGTGCTGCTAGAGACAGCACTGCTGCTGAAACTGGCTCCAAATTGATGAGGAGAGGAGGCAGAAGGCACCGCATGGTTAAAAATACCTGCAAACAGGAGAGAAAAACTCAGCTTCAACAGATGGGCTTTGTACAGTCTCAAGTGACAAGAGAAACAAAACAAAACAAAAAAAAAGAAACAAACAAACAAAAAAGCAAAATTATAATAGTTACAGCCCCATACAAAAATATGCAGCGTGAGAAGGCAGCAAGCAATGAAGAGATAATGGTGCAGGCCAGGAGGTACAAAAGGTTCCACTTACCTTTCCTACTGCCAACCTCTAAATGCCACGAGGAAAAATGGTCAGACCCAAGAACTGTCAGTTCTATACCACACAGGCAGAGTTTTGATGAGATTAGAAGTGGTCTTTAGAGTTGGTTATCTGAAGACAAAGTGCTGCTCTTCCCTCCCCACCCTCCTGCTCCCCCACTTACAGGGCAGCAGAGGGGAGTTGTAATTCCAGCAAATCTACGTGCTGAGAGATGTGAGAGTTAGGATTTCCCGACATGGTGCCTGAATGATTATGGACAGGTAAGAAAAACTGCCCTGGACACTTAGAATTGGCAGGTTCAGCCTATCTTCTAGTCCTGCCAGCTTGTCCTCGGTGTGGGCCACAGAAGCCAAGCCTGTGCAGAATCCCAGAAGTGCAAGGTGCATATGGCATTGCCCTTCCTGGCCAAGAAATGCTCTTCGTGTCCATTCAAGGGCCAGAACGCTACAGAACTCCCAACACCAGCTCCTCTGATGTTCTGCTCCTCCTGGATCATGCTAAATCCATTCAAGGCCTAATCTCAACCTTTACTCAAGTTGACAAGTTAGAGATCCTTAACATGGTACCAGGACAAGTCAAATCTGTTACCTGCAGGCAGACCTAAGTTGGTTCCAACAGCAACATCTGAACAAGCAAACATTATCAATCACAAAGTCTGGGTGTATTGTTTCATTAAGGTGGTACAACAAGCTCATCTAGCAGACAAAGCTCATGAGATTTCACTGTGGGGAACTGAAATCATCCTAGCAATTCCAAGAGAGAGAGAGAGAGAGAGAGAGGAGACTGGTTATGTGGGACAGATCTGCTTCGCATCCTGTAGAAATGAAAGGGTTTCACCCCTGGAGAGGCAGTGTCAGACTTTCCTTTAGGCCCTGTCTTATACCAGAGAAAGAGTTCTGCCTACCTCCAACTGTTCCACCTGTAACCCCAGGAGAGAAGTTCCCCATAGTGTGAGAATTAGTCAGTCTGGTTGCAGCTGATGACACGTGGACCAGACTGGCAGCAGCTGGCATTGAATTAAATAAGGACTGCAATACTGAGGAATTTGTCACCGAGTTGAGGTTTGCTTGCAAGGCCATGGGGCCGAGGGGGAACTGCGATCCAGTGGTCAGAGTGTTGAGGAAAGGATGGTGCGTCGGGACAGACGGCGCTGGGTTCCCTGCTGAGGAAACAGCAGTAGAAAGGCTTTTACCATTCAGAAGGCCACCAGACGAAACAGCAGCAGAAATGAAAAGGTTGTGGCCGTTTTTAAACTCCACGTCTCGGTCCCTTCCCTTGCCGACCTTTCCGTTGTGCTGCACAGAGTTTTTCTCCGCAGACCCCCCCACTCGGGCGCTCAGCTCACTGAGCTCTTTGCCCTTCACCCCCGGCCGGCTCAGCTCTTCTCCCTTGGTGCCCAGACCTTCCAGCTGCCTCTTGTTCAGGAAAAGGTTGGTGTCTGACACCCCCAGGTCCTTGCCTCGCTGCGAGGGGAAGCCCAGGGAGCAGGTGGAAGCCGTCCCGTCCGGAGCTTTGTGTGGAAGAGCGGCGCTGTCCATGAAGCCGTGCAGGCCCAGCTCGGAGGACAGGCCCCCGTTGTAGGTGAAGCCATTGGGGGGGTTTGTGCCAGGGCTCAGCCCATCCGAGGGCACTGCCAGGCTCTTCCTGGGGTGTCCTGGGACCTTGGTGTCCATGGCCAGCCCGTCCTCGGAGGGCGGCCTGAAGGCAAACAGGGAGTTCTGGCTCAGGGCTGACACCGCCTGCAAGGGGCTGTCTGTGGTTTTGGTCAGGTTGATGTCAGATATCGGTGAGAAAGTCGATTTCCATTTGCTGCTGTTCATGTTCTCGTTGCTTTGTGCTTGTTTCCTCCCCGATAAGCTGCCACCTGGTTGGGAAGGGGAGGTTTACAAGTGTCAATAAACAGAATTCACTAAATCTGCCCCTTGAGAAAGGGGTTTTATAGAATCACAGAGTCCTTAAGGCAGGAAAAAACCTTTAAGATCATCAAGCCAAATCATCAAACAGCACCACCACCACCATGGTTATCACTAAACCATGTCCTCAAGTGCCACATCCATTGTTTTTTTTAACACTTCCAGGGATAGGGACTCCACCATTGCCCTGGGCAGCCCTTTCCAATGACTGACAATCCTTTTAGTGAAGAAATTCTCACAGTATCCAATCTAAACCACCCCTGAGACCATTTCTTCCTGTCCTGTCCCTTGTTTCCTGGGAGCAGAGCCTGATCCCCCCTGGCTGCACCCTCCTGTCAGGGAGTTGCAGAGAGAGAGGGCCCCCCCAAACCTCCTTTTCTCCAGGCTGAGCCCCCCCTGCTCCCTCAGCTTCTCCTCGTGTTCCAGACCCTTCTCTGGGCAGCACCCACATTTTTTATCCTTCAACACCCACCTTTTATCAGTCTGTAATTCTATTTCTGAACCAAAGGCAGAAATATTTGTGAAGTCACATAAAAGTCCTTAAAATTCAGTTTAATAATCTAGAAAAGTCTGAAAACACTGATCTGCTTTTTCCCCCTATTTTTGTACTGTAGATCCCTCCTCAAACCCTGAGACAGTGAAAAATTGGTCAGATATTTGGTGACCTGTGGCTACAGAAAGAAGCGACTCAAAAATCTGTAATTAGCAGCCCCCTGGTTTAATGATGATTAAGAACCACATTTTGTCCAGCAGCAGAGAGAAACCTCCCACTGGCTGACAGCTTTGCCCATCCCCAGGCCCAGCCATTACCACAAACAATTCCCATTCCTCAGACATACCATTTTCAACAGTCTTCTGTGGAGATTTGCTTTCCAATGATATTGTTGCAATTTTCCTTTCAATTCTAGTGGGAAAATAGAAAGGTTATAGCACCTATAGCAAACCTTCTGCTGCACATTTACCCTCACAGTCTATACTCCTCATGATTAGGTCTTATCAGATGAGGGAATATAAAAACCAACTCAGCTCCACAGTTTTGTGTCACTAAAGGAATTTATAAGCATCAAAAACCCACCACAAACTTAAGGCAGGAGCTATTACAGAATTACTGCTCTTTGACAGGATTAGTGCACATTCAGAGAACTTTGTTGTTGTTTTTAATTTCAAAACAAGAAGTAGAAGCACATTTCTGTAGTGGTTATTTTTCACAGAGCCATCGGAGGGTTTGGGTTGGGAGGGACCTTAAAGCCCATCCCATCCCACCCCTGCCATGGCAGGGACACCTTCCACCATCCCAGGCTGCTCCAAGCCCCGTCCAGCCTGGCCTTGGGCACTGCCAGGGATCCAGGGGCAGCCACAGCTGCTCTGGGCACCCTGTGCCAGGGCCTGCCCACCCTCCCAGCCAACAATTCCTGCCCAATATCCCATCCAGCCCTGCCCTCAGACAGCTTTCCAGCATCTTAAACAAGAAAAATATTGCACCCCACAAGCAGGCAAATAATCCATTTCCAGAGTAACACATCAATAGTCTGGGACAGGAGCTGAAGAATTTTAAGCAAAGTTTCACACTGGGAGTGAGCAGGAGACAGAGCCTTAGCTAGAGATCACACACAACCTCAGTGCTCCTACAAAGCAACACAATAAAAAAATTACAGAGTCCCAGAATGTCCTGATCTGGAAGGAACCTTCAGGGATGATCAGTGCAGCCCCTGGCCCTGCCCAGACCCCCCAACAAGCCCACCCTGAGCATCCCTGAGAGCGCTGTCCAAACGCTCCTGGAGCTCTGGCAGCCTTGGGGCCGGGCCCATTCCCTGGGGAGCCTGGGCAGTGCCAGCAGCCTCGGGGGGAAGAACCTTGCCCTGAGATCCATCCCAAGCCCTGGCACAGCTCCAGCCCTTCCTGGGCTCCTGTCCCTGTCCCAGAGCAGAGCTCAGCCCCTGCCCCTCCGCCTCCCCTCGGGAGGAGCTGCAGCCCCCGAGGAACCTCCCCTCAGTCTCCTCCATTTCTCAGCCATTTCTCCTCCAGTTATCTCCAAGGCCAGACGCTGCCAGCCTTGCAAACACAGCAGCAGCAGCAGCTTCTCACATTCTACTGCCTGAATACCTTCCCTGTTTCACAGGTTCAGCCACATAAGAGGTCTGGGATAATGGGATGGGCCTTCAAGCAAGGGGAACAAAGAGGCTTAAACACACCCCTCCTGCTGTGAGCAGTGTTATCAGCCCTGAGAGAAACCTCATCCTGAAACTGTGCCTGTGCATTCACCTGCTGCTATTGTGCTCATCCTCAGAGCCCTGCTCGTCATCCGATGTCAGGGGGGAGTAATGGACACCGTTGCTCTGAATGAGGGGCTTCTCCTTTTTCAGCACTGGGGGCTGGTCATTGTCCTGGTAAGGAACAGGAGAGTTCTTCAGGGAGTTTTCAGGAGAGGAAATGGCTGTTATTTCTAAGGGCTGGTTAATGTTATTGACCTGGGTGAGAAGGAAAGAAAGCAGTTACAGATGAGAGTATCCCTGGAAAGGCATCTTGTTAAGGATTTTAATGCAGGTTTAACTTGCTCTGGGACATCCAACACCTGCTTGTTTAGCATTGCTGCTGCTATCTTCCACCTCCTGCACTAGAACCTGGGGTGAAAGCTTAAACGTAAAAACAGCTAATCTTCATTCTTTGATTTTATGTTTGAAATCAGAAATTATGACCTGGGATAAACCTTTCCTTCTCAAACTATTCTGCAGGATCACATGCACACAACTCTCTAGCTGGCTTCATTAGCAAGAATGCCATATGCTTCTGGCACTCCTCTGCTGTTTAGTCAATCTTAGCTTAAACTATTTTCACAATATTGAATCTACAGCCTCAAAAATCAACTTCGCTGCAGAAACAAGCTCTTTGTCACGAGGGAAGAGATTATTTTTAATTTTTAATGCTCTGACAGCAAAGAGCTCTTTGAAGACATTCTGCTTATACACAAACTGTTCACCAACATAGTGAAAACAAGAGGCAGGAGAATTGCTGCAAAGAGCCTTCACGGCAATCCCTCATCCCTAATCCCAAGAGCCTTCCCAAAGCTCCTCCCGTGGGCCCTTACCATGGAGTTGATATTGAGCGGCGACCCCGAGGGCTGCGTAAAGAGCCCGGCCACCGAGGGCAGGGATTTGCGTTTCGGGGAGACGGCGGCGTTCCCGCTGGGATTCCCCGTGGAGGATCTCTTCCGCCGGCCGCGCTTCTTCCCGTCCTGCGCGTGGGCCTGGCCGCCCGCTGGCCGGGCGCCGGCGGGCACGGGGCTGTGCTTGCTGGAAGGGGATTGTTTTACATGTCCTGTATTAGGAGAGATTGTAAAGATGATTCTCCTCTTGGCCTCGTTCTCAGGATCTGAAAACGCTGCATCAGACTGCAGGTCCCCCTTTGTTCCTTCGGCAAAGATCTTCTGAGCCTCTGCACTCTGCAGTCCCCCTGCCAGGCTTGGGGCCGGGCCACTTAAGCGGGGGCTCGAGTGCTGCTGAGCAGGGGAGTTCTGCCCAGAGTTCCTCATCATTAGCAAAGGATGTTGTGGAGTGGAACTCCGAGACCCTACAGAGTTAAAGAGACTCCCAGAGTCGTCCAGAGCTGCCTGATCAACACTATGGTTAAGATGGGCTGGGCTGTTTGTAAGATTTCCATTGACTGCCACGGAGCCAGAAGAGTAAGAAAAACCTGTTGAGAGGGAAAGTATAGATCATTGCTGGGGCTGAGCAAGAGAGAGGTCACCGAGTGCAGGGCTGGGAGGGCCGGGAGGGATTCCAGCTCTGCCTGCGGAACAGCCAGTGGCCCTGGTTTACATGGGGAAACACACGGCTGCTTTCCCACAGGACAGTGAGAACGTGACTCTGGGTGCTGAGGTGCCAGTGGGACATTAGGGACTTCCACTGCTCTCTTGGCAGTTCAGGAAAATTCACGTGGTATATGGAGGTATCCCATAGAACACGTGCTCCTCCCAGTTTTACATGGAATTCAAGTTCAAGCTTTGTTTGAACGATTACCCCTTTTGAAATCAGGGCTCCTCTGCTCTCAACTCCTTCCTTTCATCAAGGAAATGGATGGCCAGACTCAGTCTTGCCCTTCCCCAAAAAAAAAGAAGGACTTTGCCATCCACACAGCCCACCTCCTCCAAATTCAACAAAAGGCTGTGTCCTAGGAAGTGACAGGGGACCTTCAAAGACATAGTGGCAGAAAAATGCCACCAGGGAGGAATCTTGGTAAGGAAATTCAGTTTGTCATGGGGTATCAAAAATGGGTTTAGGGCTCTAGGATGGCCTGGGCTCTCTAAATGAAAGGCACTACATAGTAATAGTTTACAACAAGGTTTTTTTAAATACTTCATTTGCTTTATAGAGGCAGCCAAGCCCTTTACAAAAGATACTGAAACAACCCAAGCCCCTTGGGGTGGTAAACACTGAGAACAGAGCACTCTCTGCTGAGAGATCAGCTGTAGAACCTACTTTTCCTGGCCCACAACATTCCCAGAGTAGCTAAAGACCATGATTTCCACAGATGAGTGAGTCAGAAGCAGTGTCTGCACCTAAAGGGATCCCCATCCTCTCCCATTTGAGCTTTTCCCATACAGGGTCTTGTGCTTTGACAGCTGCCCGTGAGGCACCTCCATAACCTGCCCCAAAAATTCATTCTGGTACTTAAAGACCAAGTAAAATAAAACTTTTAGAGCCAGATGACCAGCTGAGGACACAGCTGTGCAACACTCTGCAGGTTTGCCCCACTGTAAATCTGTGGGAATCTCTGGATCCCCAAAGAATTTACAGAAGCAATTGTTTATTTACAAGTAAAGCCACATCAATCCAACCCTTTATGCCAGATGCACCCAAGCTGGAGGCACATCAAAGCATCACCTGTGAGTTTCTGGTCTCACCCACAGTTATCCAGCACTCCAGTGCCTGCAGGACCTGGCAAGAAGTGCTTGGAATATTTGGCTGTGTGTGTTTGGGTGCTGCCCCAGCACAGGAGCAGCTGTGCACAGGTGAGGCTGTTACCTGAGGTAGCCAAAGCCAGAGGCTTGTTTCCAGCAGCATTGCTTATGCCATTATGAGAACTAGCACCAATCTGCTTTTCAAGTGTCGATGAGTCTCTACTCTGGTGAACTGGGCTGGGTGTGCTTCTCTGGGGAGAGAAACAGGCATTTCAGGAAAGCAGCATCAGAAATTTACAGCTTAAACCAAATTCACATGCATTAGTACATCTGCCTAGGAAAGTGGCTCTACTTCCTCTATGGCCTAGATTCAGCTTGTTTTGAGAAAAGCATGGATCAGCACGTTACGGGCCAAAAATGTAGTGATTAATTATAGTGGGGTGGTATCTCAAACACAGCAGACACCATGCAGAGAGGGAGGCTCATCACAGCATATTCAGACTCAGGACAGCTCTGCCAGGAGCAGGAATGGCTCAGGCCACTGCTGCAGCAGGGAGGAGACTGATGGCTGTATCATGTCCCCAGGCCTGTGCTCACAAAGCTCCCCAAAACAACCCCAAAGGGATCATGAAGTGCATTAGACCATGTCCCCTGGGACACTCACTGAGGATGTTCTCCTAAACATGGAAAACACGTGTGAAATGGCAGCCTGAACAAACAGGGAGGTGCTACTCAGGGCTGGCATTGTCCTGAGGACACCCAGAGCTGGGCAGACTGGTTCTGCCAAATCCAGAAGTCTTCAGCTGGAAAAATGCAACAGATTCAATACTGTGAACCAACTCCAGCTTTCCCAATATGGGATTGAAAAACAGGCCATGGATAGATTATAACTCAGCTCTTAGGAAAAACAGCAAACACTTCTCAGTTCTCTGCTGCAGCACTTCTGTGACAAACTGCTGTGAGAAACTGGACCAGGCCTTTTGGAACTCCTCCTCCACTCAGAGAGGAAAGGACTTGTCACATCTCAAAAAGAGATGCCCCAGAAGTTCTCTGCTACAGAGCAGTCACTCACATGTGAGGTATCACAGCCCCAAGGGGCTGTTCAAGCTCACCCTGCACACGTGTGAGGAGAACAGGCAGCTTTGAGGTGACTGACAGAGAAGAATTCTCTCCCAGGTTCCTGCAGAAAGCAGGGCTAAGAACAAATGGACACATGCAATTCTCTGCTTCCACTGCCACAAACTCTCAGGCTTTTCACCCAGACACACATTCCAGGCTAGGCTCTCCTGAGGCATTTACTTTACTCTCCCTTCCTGGCTGAGCCCCCCCTCCACCCCACAGAGAAAGGAGAGGGAAAATCTACAGGATCCAAGAGCCAAGAGGATGCATCCCCCAGAAGCCTCCCCCGAGGAGCAGACCTCGTGCCCATGGAGGATCCTGGGGCACAGCCCCCCATTCCTGCCCACTGGGATTTTAGTTAGGGATGGAAAGTGTTGACAATCCCTTACTCACCACCTTCTCAACACGGCTAGGTAGGACTACGCTGGCCAGAGGGATACTAACAGGGAGTTTATTGGGCTGCACTGTGCTCAGAGGAATACTGATAGGGAGGCTGGTGATAGTTTCTCCATTACTCACAGAGGTTCTCTCTCTCAAAACCTGTAAAATCAAATGAGAAAGCAAAGTTCTTGCAGAGGACATTGAAAAGGTTTTTAAGGTACTGGTAACCTGCTCATTTCTATGTGTTTGCCATCCCTGCACTCCTTTTTTTTTTAGGAATTACAGGACTAGGAGCAATGACTGTACATCAGACAGGGCAGGCGTGGAGCAGCTTGGTTACCAGCACCAGGCTCCTGGGACAGCAACATCCCACAGCACAGAAAGGTGTAAATTAAAAGCCACTGCTGGCCCCAAGCATCTGCAAAAAGGAAGCCTTAGGCAAGCTCATTTCCCTGTGTTTTGGTTAGAGCTCTGTGAAAAGCACTCAGATGTCAGATTTTGTATCTTGAGGCCCTCTGTAGCAGCCAGATGCATTTCCATGGCAACCTGCTACTGCAGGGCACCTGCTGCTCTGTGAGCCCCAATATGCTCCAAGGCTGCACCAATTACATGGACCAAATATTTTACTCTTAATTTTTATAACTATGGAAGAGCCTCCTTTCCCAGTTCAAGCAGCCAGATGGAACAACAGTCCCACTGCACTGCTGCTGCTCAGAGAGGAGCACATCTTTCTCTCCCTCTGACCAGCTCTGATTTATTGCATCATACCCACTGTATTTTGTGTCATTTCCCATGCCAAGGTGGCCACAGAACTCAGCATTCCTGCATTCCCCAGTCTGGCCAACGTGCCCTTTGTTTCTCCAGGAGCAGCACCTGAGCAGCAGCAGATCCTTTACCTTCTCTCCTGCACTGGGTAAGGCCGCGGGGGAGGAGGGCCGAGTTTCCTGAGGACTCAGCTTTATGCCATTTGCAATTCCAGGGCTTGGATATGTAAGGCCATTCTCTTTGACATGCTCAGCTCTGGAAGGGAGATGCACAGTTGTCAGGATACAAAAACCAGTGACAAGGAATTCCCGTACCACACTCAAGGCACTGTCCCAATTTATTTACCCCATTAGCTCTCACAGCTCATTTTAAAACAGATAAAGGTCCAATTTGAAAAATATCTTTCCACAATCTAAATTACCAATGCTATTAACACCAGCCACTACCCCCTTCCCCATCCCTCTCACCTCTGTATCTCATTAGCTGTTGCTTTTCCATTGACTCCGTGGTCCTGATTCAAGTGTCTCCGCAGGGCGATTTTAGCAGGGGAAAACCTGGTGTAATCAGGGAGGGACAGGCTCGTCACCTTGTCTGCCTTCTGCCTGCTGTGGTTGGGGGTGCAGGGCACAATGTCTTGGTCCAGGTGGGAGTTGGGGTACTGGGGGGTGTTCTGCTTGGACGAGGACCGGCTGAAGGCGTGCTGGAGCTCGTAGGGGGTGGCGTGGCCGTTCATGGACAGCTCGGGGCTCATGCCATTGATGTGGGGCATGGGGAACTTGGAGCACTCCAGCTCCAGCTGGAACCTGCCGTGCTCAGCCTCGGGGTCACGGCTCAGGTGGCTTTTGCTGTGCAGCTGCACTGACAGGGGCTCCTCTGAGGGTGTGTAGGACTTGAGCTGCAGCAGCTCCTGCTGCCGCTGACTCTTTTCAAGTTCCACAATGCTGATCTTTAAAGGAAGAGGAAAACAAAAATTAAAGACTATACTTAGCAATTCTATCACATTATGGAGTTTTGCTTCCAAATTCTTCTAAGTAAAAGTGTCCCTGCTTCTGGGAACAATGCAGAACAAGGGACCCAAAGTGAGAAAAAATTTCTGCTCTGAGCTTAAGACCAAAAAGCCCAGGTGAGAGGAATGGCTCAGAGACCCTGAGAAAGAACATTCTGGATCTTAAAACCAAAAGGAAGATATCTCCAACTTACAGAGAGAGTGTGGAGTAACTCAGTACTGCACAGTCACTTCATGCCAAGGCATCCAGCAAAAGGCTGGGATAGCTCTGGAGCCAATCTCACAGGGAAAGAAAAGCTCTTCACACAAAGGAGTTTAATTTCTTGTTGCTATGAGAAATGTCACTCTGGGGGAAATGATTCCCACCCTCTCCCTGGAAGTGTCCCAGGCCAGGTCTGGAGCACTCTGGGATGGTGGAAGGTATCTCTGCCCATGGCAGGGGTGGAATGACATGATCTTTAAGGTCTCTTCCAACCCACACCAGTCTGGGAATCTGGGATTCCTGAACTGAGACATCAGAGCACACATGAAAAACATCAGTTTGTGATTTTTAATTATATGAAATGATAAACCATGATTCCTCCTTCCACAGCATCACCAAGGAATCAGGTCATGCTATCTACTGCCTTTATAAGTTATCCACAACCTTATTTACTAAAATCCTCAAATAGAAAGCTCAGTTTCTGGGGGAACAAAAAGAGAATAAACAAAAAAGCAGCACCTGGTTCATCTTTTCCCATCATATTTAGTGTAACACCCATAACTGGCCCATTGCCCAAGAGCTACCCCAAACTGGTGACTGCATTTATTTCTTGCTCTCTACCTGCAGTTCCAAACAGTGCTTTTGCTTCTCAGAAATCTGATTCTTCAAGGCCTGCTTCTCTTTCAGCAAGTTCTCCAGTGACAGCGTTGACCAATCCAGCTTCAGTTCTTCACACCGAGCCTTCAGCTGCAGGGACACACAGGGACAGGGACAAACAGGTCAAAACACAGCTCTCACCCCTGCACACCCCCTGGGGTCCCAGCTGAAAGCAGGAACTTTGCACTGAATGTGCAAGAACCCCTCAGCCCATTGAAAAGTCCTCCCAGCTTGGTGCTGGGGAGTGTGGCAGGAGGTGACCTGGCTCTTTTTCAAGTAGTGTTATCACCCACCCTCACTGCTTCCACATCCAGATATTCCATTCATCTACCTCCTGAGGGGGCTCAGTCTGGAGAAAAGGAGGCTCAGGGGGCCCTTCTGGCTCTGCACAAGTCCCTGCCAGGAGGGGACAGCCGGGGGGGTCGGGCTCTGCTCCCAGGGAACAGGGACAGGAGGAGAGGGAACGGCCTCAGGCTGGGCCAGAGGAGATTTCAATTGGAGATAGTGTCCTAGTTTAGGGAGTCACCCCAGGACAGATGGGTAAAATTTCCTCACTGAAAGGGTTGTCAGGCATTGGCACAGGCTGCCAGGGCAGTGCTGGAGTCCCCAGCCCTGGAAGTGTTCAAACAAGTGGATGTGACATTGAGGACGTGGTGTTTTGGTGACCGTGGTGCTGGCTGATGGTTGGACTCGATGACCTTACAGGTCTTTTCCCACATGAACAGTTCCAGGATTCTCTGAGTTACCAAGATGAGCACCACAGGAGTGCTGCCACAGCACGCCCTGCACAAACTCCCTGTCCAGCCAGACCCAAACCCAGTGACACCCAGAGCTGTTTGGGGACACAGCTGAGGGCAGAGCCAGATGCCACCTTAGGATTTGCTATGGGATAAATCAAAGGTAAAAAAGGACTCCCTGCAGGCTTCCCCCCATCATCTCCCTGTTTCAAAGGACCCTGAGCAGCTGGATGATGTTTCAGCCCCCAGCTTGTGCCCTGTCCTCAGCCAAAGGGCAGCACCCCCTGTTCCCAGCCCAGGGGCTGGACCCACCAGCTGCAAGCTCTGGTTCCTGAGTTCACTGTTGTCCTTCTCCAGCTGTTTTGTCTGTTCTTTCAGCTGCTGGTTGTGAGCAGAGATTTCCTTCTGAGCCTGGATCAGGTCGTTGTATGTCAGAGCTTTAACCCCCAACTAAAAGGTGAAGGGTGAGATCAGTCAATAAAGTCCTGCCAGCCTCATTCCCAGTGACTGTCCCATTCCCAAGTGACACTGAGGAGATCTGTAGAGCTCTGCAGCTCTCAGGACCTCTCCCATCATTCTCCAAGGCACTTTGTGGCTGCTGGGGGATAACAAGGAAGGACACAAAGACCTTGGAACTGCTGTTCCACCCCTTCAACTGTAAAACTGGCATTTAGGCTTTACCAGCCAACAGAACTGCCTGTGGAGAGCCTCCACATTTCCTCCTGTGCTGCTGAGCTTGGTTGGCAGCAGAGTTTGAGCAGCAGAGGATGAATCCTTCACCAAACACCACATGGCTGTGGTTTGTCCCCTTCCTTGGGCAGCGGGCACACAACAATTCCAACAACAAACACAAAACATAACCAGAGAGTGACAAAGATTGCACCTTCCTGAGCTTGATCTTCTGCAAAGCAGAGGCTGAAGACCTGAGACTGCTCTGGTCTTACTCAGCTTGACCAGAAATGTTTGCATGCAGCTGACTCAGAAATATCCCCCCAGCACAGAGGTACCTCATCGAGCTTCTGCTGAAACAGGCGTTTGATTTCCTCTTTCTGGGCCTGGCAGTGGGTGAATAACTGCTGGGCTGTCCCCATCAGCTGAGCATTCTTCTCCTAGAAGAGGGAACAGTGACAAAACACACTTTTAGCACCAGCTGCAGCATGGGCCATCTCAAGCAGATGTTTGTGGAGCACTTTAGGAGTGAACCTGGATGCAGGAGAGCTCATCCAGCCCTGCCTCAAACTCCTGAGAGCCCGGATTTGTTGGGGTGTGATACTGGTGGAGTTAAGTCAGATGAAAAGAGCTTTTAAGTAGTTTTTTTCCTGCTGTATGGTAAAATACAATCAAGGCAGTCTGAAAAACTCATTTTTATCCTCCTAGTGCATCGTGAAGCAGCAGCAATAATCACATCCCACAGAGCAGAAATAGAACTGGAAAAGATTATCTGCATGAAATCTGCTCCCAAACTGGGAACTGGCTCTAAATCCCCAGAGCCCCAGTTCAGAGTTTCCCTGTCCAATACTCATGGAAGAGATGCAGTAAATGAAAATATACTGTGGAGGAGGCAAGAAGAAAGTCCCAAATAAATCAAACTAGTTTTCCTATTTGTGCCACCATTATTTCAGCAGGTCACCTGAGCCACTCACAGCACATTCCCTGCCCAGAATATTCCTTAAGCAGATCCCTGCTCCCTCAATCCATGGCCATGCACAGCAAAGGGCAGGACAGGACTGGCTGAAGAGCCTCATTTATCCAGCCCCAAATGCAGGATTAGTGCAGCAAGGACAGGGAGCTTTGGGATTATCCTGTTCTCCACCTTGTGCTGCTGAGGCCAAGCAGGGATTGCACAGACTGAGCCATTGCTCCAGAAAAAGTGGGCAACAAGAGCAAAAAGCAGCTTGATCCTTTCCAACCTTAATAATTCCGTGACTCCATGACTGATCTTCCAAGGGAAGCAGCAGTGCTGGAAATTCCCCATGTGCAGGAACATGGGGAAATTTGGGAAAACAGTCCCTGCAATGCTAAAGGGACTGCTCTGGGGGATGCTGAAAAATCATTTTTGTTTTCAATATGAAGCATTTAATTCAGCCTTCCCAGGCACTGCAGGGGCTGACAGCTCCATCTAAGGGCACTCTGGGAAGCAGCAGCTGATTTCAAAATCATTATTACAGAGAGATTTTTATTGTACTTGAAAACCTTCCTGTAAGAGGGAGATACTGAACAGACCATACCCAGCCCCTCACCCAGCCAAGTTCTGCCTCTGTGAGGTTTAATTTGCCATGTAACACTCCATAAAAAAAATATTTTCATACTGAATTCCTCATTTTAACATTTAGAAGTGTGGAGAAGCTGTTGGACACCACCACCAAGTGATGACTTTTCCACACTCCTGATTCATTCTCTGTGCAGGGCACAACCCTTGCACACCATCATTTCATTTCTGCAGGAGACAGGTTCACTTCACGCTGACTTTCCTGACAAGTGCAGAACAAGCAGAAAAATCTGCTGCTTAAGGAAAAGGATGAAAGTTCTGTGTGCTGATTGACTGTGAAAGCAAATGGAAATAACCACAGAAAAAGAGATTTCCATGTACACCAGACCAGCGTCAACCACTTCTCAGTAAGGAATGGGGTGGCACAAGTTCATCTCTCTCCTCTGGAGAGTTCCCAACATGGAAGACACAATAAAAAAGCCCAGTGGCTTTTTTGACATTCTCACAAAGACTACAGAGCAAAGGAAAGCTTCCACAGGGAATGCCAAAAGCTGAACCTGGACAGAATTCCAGACTGGTTTGGGTTGGAAGGACATTAAAGTTCATCCAGTGCTACCCCCTGCCATGGCAGGGACACCTTCCACCATCCCAGGCTGCTCCAAGCCCCGTCCATCCTGGCCTTGGACACTGCCAGGGATCCAGGGGCAGCCACAGCTGCTCTGGGCACCCTGTGCCAGGGCCTGCCCACCCTCCCAGCCAACAATTCCTTCCCAATATCCCATCCAGCCCTGCCCTCTGGCAGTGGGAGCCATTCCCTGTGTCCTGTCCCTCCAGGCCTTGTCCCCAGTCCCTCTCCAGCTCTCCTGGAGCCCCTTTAGGCACCGGAAGGTTTGAACTGCAAGTTCAAGTTTACTGCTGAGAATTATGGGGAAAGGCTCCTCCACAGAAGCAGCAGAACAGACTCTCATCAGGGCTAATTGATGTAGCAATGAAATCATTCATAGCTGAGACAAAGCAAGACAAGAAGGTGTTCAGGCAGGAGATCTCCTCCCTCTGCTGGTGGCTCCATGGCAGAGAAACATCCCAGCTCCAGGACTCTCCTCGCCTTTCCACACTTTCCAGTCCATGATTTGGGACTTTACACTTTGCTCATCAGTGCAATCCAAAACATTCTGATTTATCAATATAATTCCTCATAACCAGTGATGAAAGTTTGGGTTTCTTAATCCCTATGAACTATGGTTCATAGAATCCTGGAATTGGTTTGGGTTGGGAGGGACTCATCCCTGGAAGTGTCCAAGGCCAGGTTGGACAGGGCTTGGAGCAGACTGGGACAGCAGAAGGTGTCCCTGCCCAGGGCAGGGGTGGCACTGGATGGGCTGCAAGGTCTCTTCCAAGCCAAACCATCCTGGGATTTTTTGATTCCAAGTCAGCATTGACTGGTGGGGGCAGAGAGGGAACAAGGGAGCTGCAGCTCTCTCACTGTGCAAATTTAAGCACACAAAAAGCGAGTTTGCAACAAAATCCCCTGGCAGTTGTTCAGCCTAAGCAGGACCGGTGTAAATGCACACAATTCCCATCTCCAGCATCCTTCCCCACATCCTAGGAACTTTAGAGTCTGGTAATTTTGTTTAGAAATATTAAAAAGTGAGACCCACCTTTTCCTGCTCCAGTAACTGTTGCAGACTTGCTTTGTACTGAGGAGTTTTCATGTATGCCATGAACTGCATGTACTGGATCTTAAATGAGTCTGCAAAATAAATCAGATCAGGAATTTCAGCAGGGGGAAAATGCCATGCCTCTGTTTACTCCTATTTCCTCTCCTCACTTGTCTCTCCCTTGATTTTGATTTGGACCCTGAGTCAGACCAAGCCATTGGGGATGGATTTAAGAACATGCTGAAAATCCCTCTCCTAGCACAAAATAAATTATTGCTTCCATCAGGTCCAATGGAAGCCATGACAACACATCCAAAGAGGCAGAGGAGGGTGCTGGGGGTTGAGGATGTGTTTGCATGAGCAAAGAGGAGCTGAGTGGTTTTAGTGTTCTGTAAGCAAAAATAATAAAAAAAATGAGCTGCAGGAGCCCAAACCAGCCCTGAGCTCAGAGCACTCACCCAGCACCAACACAGGGCCTGTTCCTCCTCTCCCCTCCACACACGAGGAGCTCTACACCTAGTTTACCCTCCCCTCCAAGGAGCATTTGGCTTCTCATTACCCTTTATCTCCAGCAATGACCCTTCCTCATCCCCAGCCCTTCCATCATTAAAGCAACCCCAGGATTAAGCCCAGTCTGCTGCACAAAACAGACATTTACGTGGTGAGCAGAAACCTGCATGAGGCTCAGCCCAGACAAAGGTCATTGACCCCATCCACCCTGCCTCAAAACATTCCTTAAAAATCACTCTTTTGCCACAAAATATCTCTTTAAATTACTCTTTTTCTCTCTCTTTCTCTTCAACAAGGGATCAGCCACAACTGACACAAAAGCAGGAGAGCACAAGTTAAGGACATCACTGATGCCCTTGGTCCCCACACAGACAGGACCATTCTGTCAGATTCCCAGAGCATCCTGGACTGGCTCATGCCCAGTGCCAAAAGCCAGAAACAGCTGTGAGGGGACAGGCAGCACAAGATTAAAAAATCCCCTCCAGGTTTTCCCTTAAATCACTTCTTGCACATGAAGTGCATTTTCCAACCACACCTTTGTGACCTCAGACTCTCAGACAGGATCTCGTTTATTGGCTCTGAGTTCAGCAGAGGAAATGGAGTGGTGTTCCTCAGGATTAAGAGAATGGTTTTATTTCAAATAAAGCTATTTCTGATTATTCCTGCTAGATCCAGGCTTGCAGCCTGTTGTGCCAAAGGAGAGCTGAAACAACATCAGGGAACAAATGCAGAGTGAAACACCAACTTCAGCGGGAGGGGGGGACCTTGTGGTGATGCCAAAGGATGTGGGGCAGGCAGGGGAAAGTGGGGAAGAGATAATCCCCCTCCTGCCCCATGCAAAACCCCAAAGGGGAGGTGGGCAGGCCAAGGGCAGCCTTACCTAGCAGCTTCTGTAGTGCAGGGGGGGTGGGTGTCACCAGGAGCTGGTTGGACGAATGCCGTTGCACTTTAGGAGGTAGTTGGTAATATGGGCTATGAGGTGACTTGTAGGCATCTGGAGAGACACAAACACAGCCCCAGGTCAGCACTCAGTGCTTGGGACAAGGACAGGAGCTTCACCACTGAAAATTTGGGATTTGTAATGAGATCCAGCAGCTTAGTCCATCAACACATGGCTCCAAACACATCCACACACTGCTCCAAACTGTTAGGAAGGGTAAGGGTGCCTGTGATCCATCCTAAGAGCAGCAGCTGAGAGAAGGCAGCTCAGCCCCAGCTCCTGGCTCAGTACCCACAGACAGATCCCACCCCCAGCCCCATCAATACATTAATCACCATCAATCACCATTAATCCCACCCCTATCCCATCAATACATTCATGCCATCACCATTAACACATCGATCACCATCAAAACATTAATCCCAACCACATCACCATCAATCCCATCACCATTAATCCCACCCACACCACCATCATCACAGCTCTGCTCTGGTGACAACAGGGAAGTTATGCCACACAACCAAACCCAACCTGGCAATAAAGAGCACATCCAGAGCGTCAGAGATTCATCCAGGCTCTTCCAGCACCCTGGCACTCACCCTGAGGAGAGGATGAAGATGTCTGGGAGACAGTCTGAGCATGCAGAAGTTCTAGTGCAGTTTGGTTCTTCTTGGTCTTACGTTCAGTACTTGCTGTGTTCATTTTCTTGGGGCGGCCTCGTTTCCTCCCTGCCATTTTCCTGCCTTTCTTACTCAGCTTTTTCTTCCGGGCCTTGGAGGGAGATGGCTTTTTTACAGAATTTGCTGCAGCTTTTTCTTCTTCAGCACCAGAATCCTGAGAGATTTTGAAAAACTTTGGTCATTTCTACCCCCATATGCAGCATTCCTTTTCAGCAAAATAAATAATGGTGTTTAACTTTCTGAAAGGAAACTGATGCATTGTAGTTCAGTAACTTGCCAGGGAATTGGACTTGCTTGGGATAAGAGTTGTTCCCAAGGGGTTATGCTCATTCTCTTCTGGACTTATCAATTAAAGAATAGAAAATGCTGAGGAAGGAGAACTTCAGGCAGGATTAGGTGGGATATTGGGAAGGAATTGTTGGCTGGGAGGGTGGGCAGGCCCTGGCACAGGGTGCCCAGAGCAGCTGGGGCTGCCCCTGGATCCCTGGCAGTGCCCAAGGCCAGGCTGGACGGGGCTTGGAGCAGCCTGGGATGGTGGAAGGTGTCCCTGCCATGGCAGGGGTGGAACTGGATGGGCTTTAAGGTCCTTCCAGCAAAACTGTACTGTGAATCTGTTAAATCTGTATCTGCTGTCTAACAAAAGCTGATTATTCATCCTTCCCTGACTACATTCTTCAAGTGAATTTCACTCAAAACTCAAAGTACAATCACTATTTTATATTTTTGGGCATGAACAGGCACTGCGTTCCTCACAGCATTACCCAAGAAAGGAAATGAGTCTTTGCAGAAGAGACTCAGCACTCTGAACTCCATTCTGTGGGCTGTGACTCAGGGACAGCTCTGCAAACTCCTGCTGGATGCAAGCGAGGGTGGACAACCAACTATTCATCTTACAACACTTTTTTTTTTTCCAGAATTAGTGGTGCAACTCCCAAGTGCAGCTTTTATTAACTCACTCCATCATATTTTTGGGCACAGCAACAGCTAGAGCAGTTTGTGTGCTCAGAGTAAAACCCAGCAGCCTTCCCACAGAGCCAGGCTTCTCCTGACTCAGAGCATGAGCTCATGCACAGCCACAGGAAACACATTCAGAGCACAGAAGTGCAGGATGTTCACCTTGTTTTCTTGGATCTTCGTTGGAGTCGTTGTGTTACTTTTGTTTTCTCTTTGTTGACGACGTCTAGCTGCCTCTTGTTCCTCCTGGGGATGAGGGATGGGAGATTTCACCATTTGCTCATGTATTTATCACTTTTTAATACAGATCACCTTGTTTCCCAGCTTAGTTTTCCACAAGAAAAGGGAACAAACTTCCCCTTGGCTCAGGCCACATTCAGGTGAGAACAAGTCCTTTTGCACCTCCAGAGGGAATTAAATCTTTAAAAATCTTCCAAGACTGGAAGTGGCAAAGCCATTAATCATCATCTCATTTAACTCCAGCCAAGTTTTTTGAGGTGACTAATAAAAAACAAAAGCAGCAACTTTTCAGGTTGATTTTCTCCCAGGCTGACAAGAAATTTCCTTGTTCAGAGAAAATCTCTTTTCCTCTCAGGAAAAGAAACTTCTTTCAGACAGGAAATTTCCAAGAGCTCAGTCAAAGCCTTTCCTGCACCTTTCAGGTGAGGTTTAATCTCCATAAGACTTCTGGCAATTCCAACACTCCTTTGATTTAAGCACATTATCAACCAAACCAGTGGCAGGTTTAAGTGTGAAAAGCAGGGAAGGTCAGAAGTACCCTGACCTTTTTTTATTTTTCTCTAAGAAGTCTTTCTTTGTCCCAAATTTGAGTGGAGCAATTAGAAATAATTCCCTTTCACAGCCCCCATGAGTCTGTTCTTACAGTCAGCCTGAGGATGAACATTCACCTGAAGTTTTAAATTAAGTGGCCTCTCTTAATTCTCTTCCTGGGAATCCATTGATTATTTCAGATTAACACAGCCCTTCACAGTCCCAAAAATTCTCTGGCATTTTAATTCCACGTGAATTTTCCCAGACTGCAGCAAATGACAACTCACTCTGTGCCTCCAATGGCACGTCCCAAAAGGAACATTTCAGGGCATTGCTCAGCTTCATTTCAGGAGCTGAGCACAGGGACAGATTCCAACCATCATTCCCTTCTTTAATTCCAGTTCTTTAATGAAGAAATAGCTCATTACAGACCACCAGTGCAAGGTAAAAGCACCTTGGGGCTGCCCCATTAATTCTCTATTAGAAATCCCTTGGACATGATTGAATTAGTGCTTGATGGCATCTGAGACTTCCCTTCAATTAGCTCCATGTTCTTTGCCTACCAAGAAAATTTGATTTCCTATCAATTCTGTCCACCTGTGATTAAATTCCTCACGGTGGCTGCTCCCTTACTTTGAGTTTTCTACAGAAAATGATTGAAACTTACCCTGAGTTTTGGATTTTTGAGACTAGAAAAATAGTTTTCAAGCTGAAAATAGAAAGAAAAGAGAGTCATCCTCAAAGCCATGACAGATGAACACAGAATAATAAAATATTAGCTTAAAACAAGTGCAGAACTGCAGAAATTCTGACTGCTTTGCTTCTGATAAGCTACATCAAGAAGCCATTTACATTCATTCTTTTCAGCCACCCAGTCTGTTGTGTAACAGGGCAGAATCCAACCTCTACAAGGTTTTATCATCCCCACCACTGCCTGGCCTTGTTTTAAAGCTTTGTGTCACAGATCTCCCCTCAGCAGAGGTTGATTTTCAATGAAATTATTTTCACTGAAGCTGCTGCACCCTCATACTCCACCATTTATCTGCACTCTGCAACATTCCTGAACAAAAGCTTTGTTAGACTACAGCAGAGTAAGGAAAACAGCCTTACCATCCCACTGCAAAAACCTTGGGGCGGGAAAAATAATTTGTCCACAGAAGTTTTTATTTCCATAGGGTTTGTTGGCTTTTATGGGGGACTTGGGGGCTTTTTTGTGGGGGGTTGGTGGGGTTTTTTTTTTTGGGGGGGGGGGGG